CCAGCCACCCCCGAGGCCCGTGCACCTGCAGTTCCCTACTCACATCCAGCAGCCTCCCCCACCCCCTGGCCCTCAGCCCCCCCACCCAGCTCCAGGCCAGCAACCACCACCCCCACCTCCTGCCAAGCCACAGCAGGTCATCCAGCACCATCCCTCACCCAGACACCACAAGTCGGACCCCTACTCTGCAGGTAAGTGGCTCTGCTCGAGAGGAGGAACTGAGAGCCCCAAGAAGCCAGAATTACTGGCTAGGGGACTCGCAAAATTAGCCTTGGAGGCCTTGGGTGGCTACGAGGTGGGTGGCACCACAGTTCAACTGGTCCTTCCGGTGGAACTCTCACTTGAATGGGGACTAGGTACCAGAAGAGACTTCCTGTCAGATGGGGGTGTGAGGTCCAGGCGGAAGCTGTTGAGGAGCAGTGGACTCTGCCCTCAGACTGCAGCGACCCCCTGTGCCAAGTGGGCCTGTCCAGAAAATAGGCTGTGAAGCTCTACTGTGGTGCCTGTCTTTTGGGGACATCAGGTGTGTCCTTTGCACATCTGGACCCAGCAGCAGCAGCCAAACCAAATAACCTCCCTGGTATGCAGTTGTCTTGGGTTGTAACAGCAGTGCAACTGGCCCGCCCTTACCTCAGGCAAGGGCGTCTTGTGTGCCAGGACCTCTGGGTGATAAGGAGTCCTTAGGAAATGGCAGGACTCAAGCAGCCTTCCAGCCAAGCCCTCCTCAGAGACCCTGGACCTAGAATGGGTCACAGGTCGCCATGGGGGATGGAGCCCAGCTGGGCCCAAGGAGGCTCTGCACCCAGAAGGCTAGGCTTGTGGGACTGCTGGCCTCATGGCCGAGTGCTTGTTAGGAAGGGACAGTTGGTAGGCATGTCATACAGCAGACCTGAGAGCCTATGGATCACCGCTGACTGCGAACAGTACAAAGTGGTGTGCTGTCGGGGTAGAGGGCAGCTGTGGGCTTCTGGGGTGCAGAGGATCCTGGCTCTGGAGGAAGGGTGGGTGGGCCATAGCTACTCAGGCATTGGGGTCATGTGCCAAATCTGTTGAGGGCTTGTTGTATCTTTCCTGCCACAGCACACCTAGGGACCAGGACATGTAGGGGCTTCTACATAAGAGTCCAGGTTTGCCGGCTTCCAGTGATAGGCTGCCAAGGGGCCCTTGTCTGGTCAGCACCCACTCCTTGACTCAGCCAGTCAAGGAGTTAAAACCAGTTAAAACCTCCTCATGGGTGAGGGTTTAAGGCATGAATTCTTCCTTGTTCAGCTGTGGGGTGGTCTGGCTCTGCTGGCTTCTGGCTGGTGCTGTGGGGTGGCAGATGGGCAGGTAGTGGGGCCACTTCCCAAAAGAGTCTCAAGCTGATGAGGACTCATTCTCTCGCCGGACACTGCAGCAATGGTTCAGGCCTGGACTCAGGTGCGCAGGACCAAAGGCATAAAGAAGCCTTCTTGACAATGGTTCCCATACCACTGATGTTTAACCTGCCATAGAAACACGTCAGTGTCCAAACCCCATCATGGACCAGGATCTAGAACACTAGCCTTCTTGACTCCCTGGTGAGAGGTGACCTGTCCCTTCTGGGCCCAGGAGCTAGCCTGGGCTCAGGCCATCTGTCCCCTATGGTTCCAGGTCTCTCTTGTCACCTCCTCACTGGCTGTGCTAACTTACTCCATGTGTCCTCTCCTAGGTCATCTCCGTGAAGCCCCCTCCCCGCTTATGATACATTCCCCCCAGATGCCACCGTTCCAGAGCCTGACTCACCAGTCCCCACCCCAGCAAAACGTCCAGCCGAAGAAGCAGGTAACAGGCAGGGCGGGATCAGCGCACCCAGGGTTACCCACAGGCTGGAACCTCCTGCTCACCTCACCATGGGCCCATGCCTCTCAGGAGCTTCGTGCATCCTCCGTGGTTCAGTCCCAGCCCCTGGTGGTGGTGAAGGATGAGAAGATGCACTCTCCTATCGTCCGCAGCGAGCCCTTCAGCCCTGCGCTGAGGCCAGAGCCCCCCAAGCACCCGGAGAGCATCAAGGCACCTGGCCACTTGCCCCAGCGTGAGTGCCCTCCCCGCCCTGGCCAGCCAGCCCACCCTGCCCCTCAGGAAGACACCTTGGTCCATGGGCTCCCTGTATTCCAGGGCCAGAGCTGAAGCCCGTGGACACTGGGAGGCCTGTAGCCCGGCCCCCTGAGCAGAATGCACCCCTGCCAGGGGCTTCCGACAAGGACAAGCAGAAACAGGAGCCCAAGACACCAGTCGCTCCCAAAAAGGTAGAGATGGGGGGGGACCGTAATTCTGCACTGAACCCTCCTGTGCCTCCATAGCTGCCCAGCCTCAGTGACCTCAATCCTCTCTACACTCAGGACCTGAAGATTAAGAACATGGGCTCCTGGGCCAGTTTGGTACAGAAGCATCCAACCACTCCATCCTCCACGGCCAAGTCTTCAAGTGACAGCTTCGAGCAGTTTCGTCGTGCTGCTCGGGAGAAGGAGGAGCGTGAGAAGGCTCTGAAGGCACAGGCGGAGCACGCAGAGAAGGAGAAAGAACGACTGCGGCAGGAGCGCATGAGGTGGGAATGGGTACACTGGGTGAGACTCTGGGAGCACATGGACAGGAGTGAGCTTACTGGACCTCCCACTTTCTCTTAAGGAACCGTGAGGATGAGGATGCGCTGGAGCAGGCCCGACGTGCCCATGAGGAGGCGCGCCGTCGCCAGGAGCAGCAGCAACAGCGCCAGGAGCAGCAGCAGCAGCAGGCAGCAGCCGCCGTGGCTGCTTCTGCCCCCCAGGCCCAGAGTTCCCAGCCCCAGTCCATGCTGGACCAGCAGCGGGAGCTGGCCCGGAAGCGTGAGCAGGAGCGGAGACGCCGGGAAGCGGTGAGTGGGGGCACCAGACAGGAACAGGCAAGCCAGTGTCCCTGCAGGAGGCAGAGCCTGGCCCAGTGTACTGTGTGCCTGCACATTCTAGGGAGGTTCTGGGCATGCATGCCATGGGGACGTAAGGCTAGCAAAGCAGGACCTTGTGTTTCACTCCTTCCCTCCTCTTCTGCAGATGGCAGCTACCATTGACATGAATTTCCAGAGTGATCTATTGTCAATATTTGAAGAAAATCTCTTCTGAGAGCACCTAGGTGATTTTGACTTTGATTTTCTGGCAAAACGTCGACTCTTATAGTGTTACGGGCCGCGGCAGTGGGCTGTCTCCGGGCCGGGCCCTCCAGCATGTTTTGCCCGGGCAGGCCTGAGGGCAGTGAGGGCCACAGGGCCTGTCTGTCTGCCTTATGCTGCCGGACATGCGGATGCCGCGCAGAGCGCGCCTCCCACAAGTACGCGCTGCCTGACCTGGGTTTGGGCCTTCTAGCCAAACTTGCGCACCGTGAACACACAACACCGTTGCCACAAGATTTGGATACTGGGACGCCCTGCCCACAGGAGTCTCTCCCACTCGGCCATGTCACACGGGTGCCCAGGGCAAGCCTGCGAGCTGAAGGCATCGGGTGCCGATCACCCACTGCCGGCACTGACTTTGCCTTGAACAGACGCCCCTCCCCCACGAGCCTTTAACTGAGAGCCGCTCTCTGTAAGTGTTCGCTTGTGAAAAAGGGAATCGTTCCGTGGAGCCGAGTGTCCACGGCTGCCAGAGCGTGGGGCTGCCCGCCCGCCAGGGAGCAAGGCCACCAACCAAAGTCAGTCCCTTCCCACCTGTATTTCTGTTTTCTTTTGTTTGTTTTTTTCTATATATATATTTTTTGTTGGATTCTATTTTATTTTAATTCTTCTTCTCCAGACACGATGGCACTGCTTATCTCCGAAATGGTGTAGCCGTCCCTTGGCACGGCGGCCCCACGTGCTGTGGGTAGTGTGTGACCGTGGACGTGTTGTATAGTGAACATAGTTGGCATATATTTGTTCGAAGTTTGTTGGTGACTCCACCAAACTTGGTGTAAAAAAAACAAAAGAAAACAAAAAAAAAAACTCCACAAAAATCAAAACACAAAAAAAAACTGCTTATATTTTACTCAGTTTCAAACTTTTATTAGTCTATTTTTTAATTATTAAACCAGAAAGCTGCGTTTTCTTCCACCCCATCACCCCCCCCTTTTTTTTTTTTTTTTTTTTTAAGTCAGATTTGTTTGCATTGTTTTTTTACCCAGAAAGACAGGGCTGGGGCAGGCAGGGGTTTGGGAATCACAGGGAACCCCTGGCCCCGCCCCCATGACGGACACACAAACTTTTTTTTTTTTTTTTTAATTTTTACACTTGGAGCCCTCAGCGAGTTACGCGTGCCATGAGAACCCACTCTACACCACAACGTTGGTGCCTCAGTGTTGGCCAAACCCTGGAGTCCCTGACTGGTCTGACTTTAATACGGTGAATATGCATCTGGCCTGTACTGATCATGGAATAAACACATCTCTCTTTTTTAATGTTGGCGTCTCCTGGACGTTTCTTTATGGACCACCTGTTGCCTAGGCTGGACCCCAGACCACCTCTGTCCCTGGCATCTCCAGGGGGAGCCAAGCGGGGACTCAGCGGCCACCACCTCTGATAAGCCACAGAATCTGTGATAGGAAGCCAGGGCCTGACCCAGGCCCCAGCCAAACCCCAGACAGTATTCTCTTCCTGCCTCCATACTGAACACCCCCCCCCAGGATATCCTACCCTGCCTCCCCCAACTCCTTCTTTTATTTAAGCTCAGGGTTAACCAGATACTCTTAGATGTTCTCCTTCTACTAAAACAGGGTCCCTGCCTCCACAGGCAGTGGCACACCCCATCTCCAGGAAGCCACCAGGGCACCCTGTCAGGCCACCAGTGGTCCATAAGTATATCTTCCCCAGCCTCAAGGGATGTCAGATACATAGACAGTCCTTGTGTCTGTACACGGTGTGACTGAGTGGGACGTTTCTAGCACTGTCCACTAACCCAGCAAACCCAGCCAAGGTCCCAGATACCCCACATCCTCACTATCCCAGACCCTTCTCTCAATACCACCTTATAGCCCACTGTGCTCCATCAAGGATGACTTATGCCTTGCTTCTTTGGGGTTCCTTCCATCTCATTTCACCCCACCTTTGTACTCCTTATTTTATTTACAAACTTCCACTAGCCAGCTCCAACAATGTGCTGGAGAAAGGAGTTTGTCTTTCCTTCGAATAAAGGTTTCCCTTGGCCACAGCCCTCTCCACACCTACGGTGGTCATCTCCAAATAGGTTATAATTAGAACTGGGACCTACTGTTTAATTTCTCCAGCTGGTGCCAGTCCCATCTACAGCACTAGAAATCTTAGTCATATACGAAAGAGAACAAGCTGCGTACAAGCTCCATTGTCCTGATTGCACAGAATGCTTGGCCAATAATTACACCCTGATCCAGAAACTTGTATTAAACACTTTAGACATTTGTAGAAGGGGATCCATAGACTCTTCACTTATATACTAAAGGTTCTTTTTCTTTTTTGTGCAGTTCTCATTGCAAAAATAAATATTTGTACTGAATATAAAGTTGCTTTTCTGTGTCCTTGTTTGAAGGTAGAACTGGGAGGTGGGACAGGGTATGGGGCCAGGGTTGTGTAGTAGGACAATGGGGAGGGGTTCCCAGATTTAGAGGACTTGGGCCAGGATCTTGCAATCATGAAGTGGGCATTACATCCAGAAGAAAGGGACGCAGATAACGGTACACTAATGGAGATTGCAGAACTAGTCAGAAAAGACAAAAGGTGGAAAAGGGCTGACAGCCCATCAACAGATGAATGGATAAATAAAATGTACATACATACAATTGAATAATTCTAGTTTGTGAAGAGAGATGAAGTCGGGATGCATGCCACACCATGGACTGACAAACCTAGAAAACATGCCAAGTAAAATAAGTCAGAAGGACAAATCTTGTGTGCTCTTGTATGAAAAAAACACATGAGCACTGAGTGTCTGTTAATGGTGGTGGAAGAATTTGGAAAATGTTAGTGATGATGTTGGTGCAACACCAATGTAACCTATGCACATGTAAAAATTACTCAGTTGGCAAATGTTTTGTTACATATTTTACCATAATTTAAAGGGGAAGGTACATTTAGAGACTGTAGGATAAGCTAACTTCAAGGTCACCTGTTCAAACCCACCACCCCCTCCGAGGGAGAAAGGTGAGGCTGGCTGTTCTCTTTAAAGTTTTACTGTCTTGGACACCCTATCTATATAAAATCAACTCCGTGGTAGTGGGTAGGCGCCCCAAGACAAAAGCAGCCCTGGCAAATGTAAAATCTTTGTGGATTGCTATTTATCCAGCTGTGAGCCTTTGTGCAAAAGCCTTAATCTCCAGTCTCCTGGGCTGTGATGATACTTCATAGGTTGATGTGCAGGTTAAGCGATGCAGTTATGTGCCCTCGACCCATAGCAACACTATATAGGGTTTCCCGGGAGCAGATGGTGTGAATTTGAACCACGGACTTGCAGTTCAAATGACTTTGCAGTCTGACGCATTATCCCACAGCGCCACACGAGGGTTAAATGATAGGTGTTCCCTAAAATGCTTAGAAGATATCATTCATTACCCCCAAGACATCTAGATGGGAGAGATTGCACGTGAGGAGTTACATAGACAGGGCCTGGTACCTGGGTTCTGCCTTACAGGCTCCAGCCGCCCCAATCACATCTCCGCTCCCATTGGCCGCCGTAAGCAACGTCCCGCCCTAAGCACCTGCCCATTGGTTCCTGGGCCAGCACCTGTCGCCGGCGCATCAACTACACGCTGCTGTCCAATTACAGCCACTCAGGGGAAGGCCGTAAGGACAGCTAGGCCAACCGGAGCAGGGCGCGGGACCAAGGCCACCGGAGCCGCCGTTGGAACCGGGGTTGGTGAAGGTGCTGCAGAACCCTAGGAGCCGGGCCGAGGGGAGGGTCGCGAGCTGAGGGGAGGGTGACATCCGGATTTCCCGAAGTATGTCAGCTCGCGCCAACCGCCAGCCAGCCCTCCTGGTCTCAACTATGGCTTTACCTGTTCCTATTCTTCCGCTTCCGGGCCCTACCCTACCGCCACACCAGAAACGCCAGATCGTGCCCTGTCCCGTTAGTCCAGCCCCTCACTCTGCCTAAGCCAAGACCCCAGCAACTCTCCTTGGCCTGGTTGGACCCACCTTTCTAGGCCTAGGCCCCGTCCTTCGTTTCAGGTTCCGCCTATTTCACCTGGAGCCCCAGTTTGTCCAGGCCCAGAATCTTCCCTCTGGTCTTTAGACCCAGTTTCCGGACACCTGCTGAGGTAGTCCAGCTAGGTCCCGCCTCTTACGCGCCATCTCTTTACAGACCCCGCCTACTCTTTGGCCCCACCACACCCTCTGGGCCCCTTCCACTGATTCAGCACCTACACCTGTCTTGCCTTTCTAGGCTACGCCTACTACCCTACCCCAGCATCCCTCCCAGACCTCTCCTCATACCGAGAGTCCTCTAGACTCGCCCTGCCCCACAGATTCATCCCTTCTCCAACCCTCATACCGGGTTCCAGCCTGCAGGTCCCGATCCGGACCCTCATACCCAGCCGCCTATTTTCAGGCCCCGCCCCCTCAGGCCCCACCCCCTTTCCGCAAAGCCAGACATCAGCTCCCTAACCCAACTCTCCCTGTCCCTATCACGCCCAGGTGTGTACCTAGCACTTAGATGAGTCGCGCGCCCTGGGAATTTCAGTCTGAGCCGTCCCTTCTTCCCGCAGTGCGTTCCACAAGCCTCAAGGCACGGAGGAAACCCAGAGCAAGGGTGGGGGGCTTTGCAGCCCGGATCCCGCCTCGCCGCCCGCAGCCCCTAGCCCCGACGGCGGTGCAACCGTGGTCCCCGGGCACGGCGACATGCCCGAGCTGGTGGTGACAGCGCTCCTGGCGCCGTCACGCCTCACACTGAAGCTGCTGCGCGCCTTGATGTGGAGCCTGGTGTTCTCCACGGCGCTGGTGACCGCGGCGGTGTACGGCTGCATCGCGTTGACCCATGTGCTGTGCCGTCCAAGACGCGGCTGCTGCGGGCACTCCCGAAGTGTCGTCCCCACCTGTCTGAGTGACCCCTCACTAGGCGAGCATGACTTCTTGACTCTCAAGGTGAGCGCGTGGAGGGCCATCGATCCTCAGCCCTCAGCGTTGAGGCACCTGGGATGCGGGGAAACCCTGGAGACACAGTGTGAGTGGCTCGCTCGGGCTCATCTTGCGCCCTCCCACAGAGCTCGGGCCTGCGCCTTCACTATGTCTCTGCCGGACGTGGCAACGGGCCCCTCATGCTGTTCCTGCACGGCTTCCCAGAAAACTGGTAAGTTTGTGACCAAAGGTAGGTGAGGGAGAGGGGTTTTCGTGGCCATGGAGCTCTGACGGGCAGAGATCACAGAGTAAAGAGAGCTCTAATGGAGTTTACTAAGATATAGTGGGTAGAGCGAGATATAGTGGGCAAAGCATAGGTACAGAGGACTGAGCTGGAGAACACCAGGACAGGGGACTATGCTGGGAAGATAGGGTACTGGGCCAGGATGCACAAAGAGGAGTTCTGAGCTGAGGCACACAGGAACAGAAGGCCCTCAGGGTGGGGCAAAGGATTAGCTAGGTGAGGTCGTACTGTATCCTGGCGCAACCCTATCTTCTGCCTTGGATTCCCCTTCCTTCTTTCTGGGAAGTCCAGCTCTGCAATGTGGAGCTGCCAGAATCCCCAGCTAGGCTGAGGGTTGTGGTACACCCCCGCAGGCCCTGACTCAATCTCCCTCCCTGCCCTGCACACCTGGCAGGTTCTCCTGGCGTTACCAGCTCCGGGAGTTCCAGAGCCGCTTCCACGTCGTGGCTGTGGATCTGCGTGGCTACTGGCCCTCAGATGCGCCTCGCAAAGTAGACTGCTACACCACTGACCTGCTGATGACTGATATCCAGGATGTTATCCAGGGCTTGGGTTCGTGGCAACAGGCCTACACTTCCCCTGCTCCTTCCTACTCCTGTCCAAGTCTACCTGTGCCTCAATTAAACTAGCTCCTCTGGCCCTCAGGTTACTCCAAGTGTGTCCTTGTGGGCCATGACTGGGGTGGTCTCCTGGCCTGGAATTTCTCCATCTACTACCCAGCCCTGGTGGAACGGTTGGTGGTGTCCAGCGCTCCCCCCATGTCCGTGTACCAAGGTGTGTGGGGAGCCTGGTAAGGGGGATGTGCCTGGGTGAGGGTGGTGGTGGTGGTGGTGGTGGTGTGTGTGTGTGTGTGTGTGTGTGTGTTTCTGCACCCACCAGTCAGCACACTGGAGGTGGGGTTACAGTGTGGACCCAGAAAGGGGGCTGTCCCTCCTGCCTTAATGTTCACACACTTTTCAATCACTTACAGGTACCCATTGTTCTGACAAGAGTCCTGCATTCATTAGCCTACATGTGCCTCTTATGTTGATGAAAAAGTTGAGGAAATAGGTTCAGAGAGGTGAACAGCAGTGAAGACAGAGATCACTAAGGGCTCCCATAGCATGATATGCATCTGACTGCCCAGAAGCCATCCCCATTCCCCGATTTTAGTTCTTTCTCTCCCTCTGCCTCCTCTCTCTCCCTCCCTCCCTCCCTGCCTCTTTGGTCTCCATCTCTGTCTGTTTCTTGTTGTCTCTCTTCCCCTCTTGACTTCAAATGCCCAAGGGTAGAGATTTTTGTCTGTCTATTCCTTGCTGTGCCCCTGCCCTCTGTCTGTAACCGTAGGCACTCAATAAATGTTTGTGAATACAGCAGGAGAAACACATCCAGCCTGGACAGGAAAAGCCCCCTCGGGATGCAGGAGGAAGGGATGGGTGGCAAGAGGCAATTAATTGCAGGGGAGGCCCAATATTCATGGGTACCACTCAGTGGGTGTCGAGTTTTCCCCAGGCTTAGGCAGCAGTGGCATTCCTGGGTATTGGCATGCCTGTGTACTGAGCCTGATTGTGTGTGTGGTGCAGGGTGGCCCTGGCCTCACAAATGTCCCTGCCCCTGTCCCCTACCAGACTACTCTCTGCGCCACATCAGTCAGTTCTTCCGGTCCCACTATGTGTTCCTGTTCCAGCTTCCCTGGCTGCCTGAGAAATTGCTCTCCATGTCTGACTTCCAGGTACCATTGGGTGAAGGTCTGGGGATCAGAGGAGTGGGCTGGGGCTGGGTAGACAGGGCACTGAAGCCAATCTTGCTGTGTGCCCAGATCCTGAAGACCACCCTCAGCCACCGCAAGACTGGGATCCCACACTTGACCCCTAATGAACTTGAGGCCTTCCTCTATGGTTTCACCCAACCTGGTGGCCTTGTTGGGCCCTTAAATTACTACCGGAACCTCTTCAGGTGAGTTCTGACTCTGAGCAGAAGTTAAGAAGATTTTTGGAGGGGTTATGGGGAGACGGCCACCTCTGCCCATCTGTCTGTCTTGGCCACAGGAACTTTCCCCTGGAGCCCCAGGAATTGTCCACACGCACACTGCTTCTGTGGGGGGAGAAGGACACCTACTTGGAGCCTGGGCTGGTGGGCGCCACCAGCAGTCGCTTTGTGCCAGGCAGACTGGAAGCCCACATCTTGCCAGGCGTGGGGCACTGGGTCCCACAGAGCAACCCTGAGGAGATGCATCAGTATATGTGGACCTTCCTGCAAGACCTGCTGGACTAACGGCCATTGCTTACCTTTCTCATCAACTTGCCTAGGCACACAACACAAGGACACTCAGGAGCACACACCTGTGATATGCATGCGCCTGGGAGCTCTCACACGGTACATGCACATGAATACTTAGGGACACACATCTACTGTGTGTGTGCACCTGGGAGTCCATACATGCAGATAGTCAGGAGCACACACTTGCTGCACATATGAGTATGCTAGGGAGTCCACACAGTGTTCATACACATAGCCACTTATGTGTACCAGGGAACCCACACAACACATGTGCATATATGTACACTTAGGAGTTCATACAACTTGCATGAACATGGACACTCAAGAACACATACAATGGCATGTGTGTGTATATATGTGCACCTGGGGGTCCATCCATGTGCACGGACACTCAGGAACACATATCTGCTGTGTGTGTACAAACACTCATAGTCCACATGACATATGTGCATGTGCAGACCCCCCTGGATCACACACAGGCCTGGAATTCCTGAGTTACACACAAGTTCATCTGTGTGGTCACTCACATGTTCCAGCAAGTGGGAATCGGGGACACCTCTCCGCCGAGGAACTGGATACTAAGACCCGGTATTCCACTTCTCCCTTCTTGGGTCCCCACCCTTCTTCCTCCATGGTTGACTACAACAAACCATAAATTGGGACCTTACTCTTCCTAGCTTCCACTTCTAGTTTGGGTCTTCAGCATAACGTTGTACTGTCCAATACAATAACTGCTAGCCATATCAAGCTACTGCAATTTAAATAGAAATTTAATTAAAGTACAATTGAAAATTCATTTCTCTGGTCCCACCAGCCATATTTTAAGTACTCAATAGTAACATTTCCATCAACCCAGAAAGGTATCTGAGGAGGCTTCAAAAGGCTCATGGAAGAATTCTTTTATCTTTTCATTCCATTCTTCCATGAACTTTTTGAAGCCTCCTCATATTGGACAGGATTGAAGATGTTCCTGGCTTAAAGGCAGCAGCCTCCCTGCCTAGTTCCTGACTACCTCATCCAGGAAGGACTCCTGTGAGCAGATGTGGTGGATGTCTGGACTCCCAGGAAAGCTCCCAGGAACCCCTCTTCCTCATTGCCATAGTTCCAAACTTTATATGGTCCAGTTCTCTCTCTGCAGCCTGGACCAAACAGATTCAGGTCCCCAGGAAAAACCGTTAGGATATGTGGGATTCCAGACTCAGCACATGAAAGGAACCACACCCTAAGTGACCATCCAGGACTCGAGGCCCATTCCACCACCAACTTGAATCTTCTCAAATTAGCCAGTGGGGAGGGGGCCTTCTGACTTCAGTCTCCAAACAAAAGTAGGTGAAGGGGTACAAGTGGAGGCTAGGTTACCTGGACCCTGACTGCTCAGAGCTCCTGGATTTTGGGGACAGCAGCAAGGACTTTGTCCCTGAACTGCACCAATGGTTTATGATCAAGTATTAACCTAAAGGTTAGCAGTTCGTAGTCACTCAGGAGCATGGCCAGAGAGAGACCTGGTAATATGCTTCTGGGAAGATTGTTGTCAGGACCACTCTAGAGTCTACTGTTCCGTCTAAGAAACCACTCCACATTGTTATCCATCACCTGCACACGAGGACAGTATGTGGGGCTCTCTCTTGAGATCCAGGGGACCTGAGGAATACATTCTCCTATTTTGGGGATGGGCCTGTCTGGTCCGGACCTGCCTGCTGGTCAAGCACCCCCACTCTTAACCAACATAACATTCTTTCATGCAACAAATGTTTCAGATATTATTCTTCTGGGTCCTAGGTCTTGTGAATAAGAAAGCCGGCCCTGCTCCCAGGAGTGTACAGAGGAGAGGATTGGGAGTGTGTGTGTGGGGGTGGGGTGGGGGGGTGGAGGGTGACAGGGTCAGGGAAGGCCTCCCTGGGGGCCTAAGGGATGGGCTTCCCAAGCGGCAGAGACAAGCCTGGGACCATGGATTAAGCAGGCAGAGTGAACAGGGGGTGCGTGGGAGGAGAGGCACCCCCACCCCCATCCCCAGACCTCCAGGGCCCGGAGGACTTTGGATTTGAGTCTCAAGGGGCGGCTTTTCAACAGGGAAGGAACATGGCTTGCATTCTGAAGAGCTTCCTGTGGCGGCTAGACAGCCCCACGCAGGAGAGCGCGCAGGAGGCAGGCAGGGCTCCCAGGGCCTCCCACCCCTGCCGCACAGCCAAGGTGGGCGCAACGCTCCCAGATGGAGGAGCTGGGGGCAGATTTGCGGGTACCCCCATCCTGGGTGGAGGTCTGGGGCTAGGAGGCCCGCAGGCAGCATGGGGACAGTGGGGCTGAGCACCGTTGTCAGGGAGACAAGGGAAGGGTTGATGGCGGACCGGAACTGGTAGCGGTTGTCAGGGGGACCGGAGAGGCCCGGCGAAGGCTGACTGGAGACCTGGGATAGTTGCCCAGGACGACCGGGTCCGCTGACGGTTGCCAGGAGCAACAGCAGCGGGCCGGAATGTGACAGGGCGGGGGTCGAGGGTGATGTCTTCGGGGAGAATGATCGCGTTGATTGGGCAGAGTCCTGGCGCGTCAGCTAATAGGAGGCTGGTTCAGTTTGAGCCAATCCAGCAGGGTCTTTCTTGACCTAAGGACTCTGCGCGCCCATCACCTCCGGCGGGAGTGGTGACCCCCTAGAATTGGGGGGGGTCAGTCCGGGCTGCCACCCCTCCTAGCCTTAAAGGCTTGGCCTTTTTCTCTCTCCCGGATCTGAGCTCTTAGCTCCAGATCGCCTTCCAACATTCACTCACTCACTCATTCATTCATTCATTCATTCACTCACTCACCCGTCTCTGCCACCTCCTCTGTTTCCAGCTGGCCCCGCACTAGAGTGGTGGACAGGACAATCAGGCACAGGGCACACCTGTGTGGTCACACCACAGATGAAGTAACTGGGAGGGAAGGAAGGCTCCCGAGCGAAAAGGAGGCGACTGTCTAGAGGAGGCAGTCTTGGAGCTGAACCTTGCAAGAAGCAGCTCCAATCAATGGAAACCTCTCGCCACAACAGGTGGTTTAGCATTTCCGTGACCCAGAAGGAAAGTCTGGGATGGGAACGAGACAGAAGACATGGGATTATACAGGGTTTGCCCTTGATCGCTGTGTGATGGGGGAGTCAGGGAGGAAAGCCCGCAAGCCTTCTTATGTGTCCAGAATACCACTGGGGGAGGGAAGGAGGACTGGTGAGAGGGCGGGGCCAGAGGAGGAAGACTGAAGGTGGGCCCGGGGGAGGGACGGAGAGGCGGTGGTCTTGGAGAAGATGCAGAATCAGGTATGGGGGCTGATCAATCTGAAGGGTCTGAGGAATGCCTTAAGACAGAAACGTTTGTTGTTGTTGTTGTTGTTGTTAGGTGTCTTGGAGTTGGTTCTGACTCACAGCGACCTTATGCACAGAAGGAAACACTGCCTGGTCCTGTGCCCTCCTCACCATTGTCGCTAACTTTGATCACCTTGTTTTTGCCACTGTATCAATACATCTCGTTGGGGGGTCTTCCTCTTTTTCAGTGACTCACCACTTTACCAAGGATAGTGTTTTTTCCCAGGGACTGATACCTACTGATAACATGCCCTAAATAGAGACGCTCACCATCTTCCCTGATAAGAAGAATTCTGGCTGTATATCTTCCAAGACAGATTTGTTTCATGTTCTGGCAATCCATGGTACTTTCAATATTCTTCACTAACACCATAATTCAAATGCATCAATTCTTCTACAATCTTTGCTTTTCAGGATCCAATTTTCACATGCATATGAAGCTACTGAAAACATCTTGGTTTGGGTCAGGCTCACCTTAGTCCTGGATTACAGTCTAGGAAACCTTAGGGGCAGTTCTATTCTGCACTATAGGCTTGCTATGAGTCCACACGGCACATAATAACAACATGGCAAGTACTGTAACAGCCTATAAGATGAGCAAAGATGTCAGTGTGAGGACTAAGGTGCGCCTAACCCAAGCCAAGGTATTTTCAGTAGCCTCATATGCATGTGAAAGTTGGACGATGAATAAGGAAGACGGGAGAATAATTGATGCATTAGAATTATGATGTTGGAGAAGAATATTGAAAGTACCCTGGACTGCCAGAATAACAAACAAATCTATGATGGAAGATGTACAGCCAGATGCTCCTTAGAAGCAAGAATGGTCAGACTTTGTCTATCATACTTTGGACATGTTATCAAGAGGGACCAGTCCTTGGAGAAGAACATTATGCTTGGTAAAGTGGAGGTTCCATGAAAAAGAGGAAGACTCCCAATGAGATGGATCGACACAGTGGGCTCAAGTGTAACAACAATTGTGAAGTTGGCCCAGGACCAGGCAGTGTTTCGTTCTGTTGTGCAAAGCGTTTCTATGAGTCGGAACCAACTCGATGGCTCCTGACAACAACGATCCTTATGGGAGCAGATGGCCAGGTGTTTTCTCCCATGTAGGCACTGGTGACCTTTCTGATTGCAGCTGAGTGCATAACCATGGTGCCAGCAGGGCACCTGCCACCACCACCTGACCTAGCAATCCCCTCTTAGGTGTCTACCCTGAAGAAGTGAAGGCAGGAACACAAACCCGTACACCAGTGTTCATTGCAGGACTTCTTACAATTGCCCAACTTTCCATCCACACATGACTGGATAAATACAAAGTGGCCTGAACACACAATAGCCACAAAAAGAATGAAGCCTTGATGCATGCCACAACATGGATGAACCTTGAAAACATCACACAGAGTGAACTAAAGTCTGTCACCAAAGGACAAACACTATATAATCTCACTTACGTACAATAAGGAACTATATAGAAACCAATGATTATTAGTGGCTACCAGGGTGGGAAAGGAGCTCTGGTAGCGTAGTGGTTACGAATCGGGCTGCTAATCTCATGGTTAGCAGTTTGAAACTACCAGCTGTTCCGCGGGAGAAAGATGAGACTTTCTGCTCCTGTCAAGATTTACAGCCTCGGAAACCCTGCACAGGGTCGCTATGAGTCGCACAT